TTAAGCTCAGGGTGGGGCCCCCAGCCCCTTCCTCACCTCAGTGTGGGCATGCCATTGCTGGCCCTGCCTCTGGGATGGACCTCAGCTGTGCAGGTAACTTCTCTCTGGGGTGGGCCGTGGATGCCCATCGTGGCTTGTTTTCAGCCCTGTCTTGGCTCCTGGGGGTTTGGGGCCGTGGTGCAGCCGTGCCTCCAGCCCTTCATCCCTTCGCTCCTACCTAGATGGACCCTGGACCTGGCTCGGCGCTTGCCTTGGCTGGGACTCCTGATGGGATGAGCTGTGTTGACAGCACCCGGCTCTGCCTGCCCTTGGGGGGTTGCACCCTGTGGGTGAGGGCGCTGCCTGTGTTGGGGTCACCCCTGCTCCCAGCTTGCCTGTCCCTGGGAGGCAGTCACCCTTGTGCTCCCTGGCAGGGCTTTGGGGCTGCGGGCTCAGCTCCCACAGCCTTTAGCTGTGCTCCAGCTCCATCGAGGTGACACCTGCCCTGTCTCCGCTGGGGCTGTGGGCACGAGGGAGACTCCGTCACCGCTGCCATCGCTGCACAGAGGGAGAACCAGCCCTGAGCTATGGGGATGGGTGAGAGCCCCAGGCCCTTCACCGCACTGCCTGCCAGATGGACTGGGTGCTCTGGGCTATTTTGGGGCCCCTCTGGCCCTGGTGTGCCCTCGCTGACCCTGCTCTCCCACCACACCACGTCCCTCCCTGCTGTCCCAGGATGATGGCTGCGGGTTTCGGCAGCCGTTGATTGTTTTAGTGGGAGCACTAGCTCGAGGCTTCTGCCGGGGGCTGTGCTTGGCTGAGTGGGAAGGGCGAGTTGCTCCTGTGTACGATGTAGGCTGCAGAGATTAATCCTCCCCTGCCCGGCTGCAGGGCTGGGCCAGTCGGGGGGCTCTCCTGAGAGGTGAGGGTGCTTTCTTCCTGCCCTCCCTTCCCCCTTGCAGCACCCTGGGCTCCCCTCTCCGCTCATCCCCCCTTTCCCTCCCTGCATAGAGTTTGTTTTCACCACAGCCTTCTCCATCCCTCAGCCCGACTCCTGATGAAGTCGTCCTGCGCTGCAGGAAAGCCTTGTTTCTAGCTGTTCTCCTGGGACCATTTCCCCAGCATCTCTTGTCTTTTATTAAATTGGAGCCAAAAGGACGCTGTAGCGTGGGGTGAACGCTCTGGCCCTTTGCAGAGCAGCCAGGGCAGATGGGCAGCCCAGGGGTGCGGTGGGGGACCTGCCACCCCGGAGGAGCTGGGACCCCTGGACGGCACCGTGAGTGGGAGTCGGGCGGGAGGCAGGCGGCAGCCTTCCGGGCGAGGGGAAAA